CCCCCCCCCCCCACACACACAACAAATAAAATAAAATATATTGTTGCAATGCTGGTATTAAAGTGTCATTTGTTATATGATTATCATCTAAATGTTTTGTTGATGCAGTAAATATTATGGGATAATGTAAAGTATATAATTCATAAATGTGATTCATTAAAAAAGAATTATTATTTTCAAATAGACTTATTTTATGTACAGATCTATACAATTATCTTGTATTATAATTTTATGAATTATGTTTATCCATTGTTCTTAATGGAGTGTTGTTTTCATCTTTTTGAATGACTTTCCTCGTTTTATTATTATATGTAAATACTGTCATATATTATTGTAATAATTTATGAGCATAAAAACATCTTTGTTGTGTGCGTTTACTAGTGTAATACCGAGCGTTCCTCTGTAATTATTTCAGTTAGTAATTATGTAATGGAAACACCCATTTCATCTTATTAAATACATCATCATTAAAGATGAAAAGAAGAATTAGAAATCGAATAAATTATTGACAGAGCATTTAGAGTTCAGAAAGACCATTGGTCCATAATAATGTAATTCATTTTAACACCATTTGTATTCTTATTTATTTTACACCATACTATGGAATACGGGGTTATAACGGCAAATTCCAGGACCGTATTCCTGGTAAGCCTTTTTGGTATGACAAACTGTATAAAATTCTGGATCGCTAGCCAATAAAGCACCACCGTACCATACTGCCCAACGTTGTTTGTGATGTGATACAACGTGAACGTCTATAGGTTTTGGCTGAAATAAAATGAAACATAAGTATTGGCAGTTTACTGTTTCTTACCCATTAAAATAAGTAAAATGTATATTACCGTAATAAGACTTCCACTTAACGTTTCACTAAGTTTGAGGCGTGCATCAACGATTCGTTTTATATCACGTTGTAATCGTCTACCAAAATCCTTAAACATTGTAGAGCCACCAGATAGCACGACATTATTATATAAGGGCCTCCTAACATCGATTGGACAATTTTGAATCACATCATCCACAATTTCGCTTAATGGTATCGTGAAATCTGGATTAGAGAACTAAAGAATACGATAATAAAATTAAACGTGCGCATGAAATTATTTCTTTTTTCGTTCTATTAGGTACTTGAATTTAGATAAACATACTTCAGGATGAAAGAATATCTCTGGTCCAAGAAACCTTTCATAACCAACATCTACTACAAATGGTTGTTTTGTAATACTGTTAACACCTTCATATTTTTTTATTTTAGTAGGATCACTGTCATACTTAGTAAATTCCTTTGAAATATCAGGACATATGTAGCAATATTTTTCTTTAATTGCTTTAGCTGTTTCTAATGATTGTTCAGGCGGTATTCCAATTTCGCGTTCCCTTAACAGACTTTGAATAAAATATGTAATATCACGGCCAGCAATAGGAATATGTTTTATACAACTTCCTATAACAAAACCTTCTGCCTATGTGACAACATAAATTAATTAATTTCAAAGGATTCGTAATATCATGTTTAAAGCAAATAAGTTTAAAACGTATAATTTTCTCCCTTTTACACATACCACAGGTATTACATGTGTTACTCCATCTCCGCTATCAACAACTACTCCTGTTAATGTTCTATCCTCTATTGTTTTAGCTGTCCAAGAAGCAGCTAATGCTAATACTGCTTGTACAGCAATATAAAGACCTGGCACATTAAATGATTCAAACATTATCTCTGCAGTATATTCTCGATTTTCGGGAGTGTTTAATGGTGGTTCCGTAAGTAGAAAGTAATGATCTTCTGGTTCTGCTCTAAGATATTTGAAAATACATTGCTGCAGGAATTTTTCCATTAAATCCCAATCTTCCACTAATCCATGTCTAACTGGATACTAAGCAAAATTTAATGTAAATTGTAAAATAATTTGAAAAATAATATATACTTTGATAGCAATATTAACACATATTAGTATATCAACATACTTTTACAGAATAACCAGTAGCTTCAAAAGCTTCATCTCCGATATAAGCATCAAGATCTTCAACTCCTTTAGTAATCCTTCTGGCATTATTATCTCCAACTTTTGCAGTTTCTTTAATAGCAATTGCAGATGGTATTATAAGCTGAGGTTCCTTATTGCCTGCAAAGCCTAGCTTTGTATAGCTGTAAAATCACAAATGATTATAAATACTTTTTTTTTTTAGATAACTAAAAAAAATTTGTATATTAAGTTCTAAATTTAAATGATTGTTATAAATACTGACTTTGCTAATGTAAATTTATTACTAAATTAAAAGTATACAATCAATATTGATTTAAATTTTAAATTATTAATATGCAGCGGCCGAATATCAACGTACATAACAGAGAAAAAAAAATTAGCTAACAATGTTAAATAGATTCGTGACATTTTTCTAAGTATATTTATTTAATATATGGAATAACATGTATCATTAAATCACACTTTAGCCTATTTACTTGAGTCGAAATTAATTTTTTTGATCACTTACCCCGTACCTACGTCGATTACACATGCAGGAAGACGACCAAGCATTGTGTTGTTCTTGTTTTAACTGATTCTTACTTTTATCCGAAAGAAATATATCTTACCTACTGCTCAAATTTACACTCATCCGCTTCAATTAACCACACCTCACTTGGGAGATAAAGCAGAAGCACACTTCAAGCGGCATGTCCATTGGACGAAATCCCGTTTGATAGATTGTCAAAAGTGGACACTTATATGTAAAATAATCGCGACATCTATAGTGAAAACTCTTTAGTAATAAATACGTAAATTTTTATCAAACTTCAATTATATTCCTTTATTAATTTGTCGCATAAAATTAATCGACTGTTATAATGTATAAGTATCTTGTATGCTTACAAAAATACAACCATCGTTTGTGAGTAGATGTATTGTTAATAAACGCAGAATTATCCCTACTATTTCCTAGAAATATTTTAACAAAGGCACATCTGTGATATCATTAGTGATATCTCAGTTAATTATTAGTTAATTAATAAGATTGGAAAAACAAAATTTTTATTATTCTTTACTTTATGATCATCAGGTTATTGCAGTCGAGCCGTTGAGATTTTTTTAATGAAAATGATACCAAATATGTAGACCAAATAGATACGTCGTAAAATAGCAGTTGAATTTTCCTTTTTTCCCCATTTAGCTTTAGTGTAGAATTCGTTTTTACATTTTAACATTAATACACTTAAGAAATAAGAAAGTCGAAGAAATATTACTGGCAATATTTTCTAAAATAGTAACACGTCATCTTCGTTAATAAACATAAGGTGATCTTGAGCATATGATATTTAAGCAAATGTTATGCATGTAATTTTACCAGGTGGCTAATCGTTACAAATGATAATTTGGTTTACATTATAATTATGATGTAATATAATTAAAATAATCAAAAGATTTGTATCCCTTGCTATTATACTAAGTAATCATATACTTTAAATGAAGTAGGAAATTTATTATTTGAAATGTTAAGTGGAAGTAACAAATTTTATTATTATTTATATGCATCTGCAGGCATGCATAAACGTGTATGCATAATAATCTATTATCATTACATAATTACAAGTAAATTAAATAAAAAGATACAAAATATTATTTCATTCCTATATTCATATGTATCACTTCTTGCATAAATAATATTCTCATAATATAAGCATAAATGGCAGTACATTCTGTCATGAAAAGTAAATGTTTTCACCAGCACAAGAATTATTTAAATATTCCTCCATTTCTTTATGACAATCTCTATGGCAATCTTTATGGCACTTACAAATCTTCTCGTTCTGATTTACTTATGTTTTGATGATTAAATGCAGTCGTAGAATTTTCTGTATCACTAACATATCCTTGTTCACCGGTGTAATGTGTTGGATAAATTAATAAAGGATTGGTGGAAAATATTATTAAATTTCGTTCTGGATAGTATACTTTCCAATCTTCCCTATAAAAAAAGGGCAGTTTTTACATATAAAATATAATTGGAGCATGAAGAAAAAACTATCCTAAAATTTCCACTAAAATAAATTATTCCAATAACATTCTAAGTTTATCTTTTTTTCTTTTTTTCTTTTTTTTTACCTAGGATGAACATCGGATAATATAGGAAGATATTCATCAACAGGTACCAATCGTTTTAATGGCATTGCTTCTACTAGTTTTCTTGCACCACTTGCAGATAAGATATATCCTAATGTCCAATAACTGTAGGCAGCATGTACCAAATATTTTGATCCTTCAATCCAAGGTTCAGCATCTTCTGCTAATCTTTTTCTACCCAGATAACTAACAGGTTTATATTTTTTAATACAACGTTTACTATTAAAGGAAATATATTTGAAATAATAGTTACTTACACCAAATCCCATTCAAATTTAAGATTTTTTAATTCTGCTAAAATGTAATTCACTTTTTGTCGGAAAAACGGTTCAAAACGCACGTCATCTTCTAAGACAATAACACTTTTGAAACGATTTTGCCTTACCTAATAATTTTTCGACTGTTTAATACAATTTTAACAAGTTAATTCATTAATTTGACTAAAATAAATCGTTTTCTCAGTTTTGCAATTACCTTTTTCCAGATATTGTAATGACTTAAAAAACATCCAATTTCACCCATAGTCATTGGTCTGTAATTATTTTCCTTATTATTTGTTTGGCCTCATATTATTTCCAATTTTTATCACACTTACCGATTATGATAAGGATCCATGTATTCTGGCATAACTTCAATCCCTACTTTTTGAAGGCTAGATTGGTTTAATTCCCTGAATAAATAAACAAACAAAATAAATCTTTTTAAGTAATTATTGCTTATGACTGTTAATCGTTTAATTAAATGGAAAATTGATTTTTTAAATATTATAAAAAATTATTAATGTTCGATATATCTCAAAATTATGTAGCCGTTATTAAAAATTATGCCATTAATTTAAATCTAACATGATCGTTTAAAAAAAGTAATTAACGAAATATATAGGTGCGTGTATATATGTATTTACTTTCATGTCGCGACTTACCTACCGTCAACAGCATTGTATGTTTCCACTCGAATTCCGAGTTCTTTAAAAAGTCTATGCATTCTGTTGCGTCTCTCTGGTCTTCTTAAAAGATTTATCATATAAATATTGTCCACTTGCAATGTATCTTCTATGGGGTACTGTACAAATTGTTTTAAATGTATTGACAATGGAAGATAATTATTGTCAGCTGAAAAAAAAAATGAGAATATCACGATACAAAGTATAAATATTGTTTTTCCATTTATTTGCGTTGTGTAATATTTTAAATTCTGCTTCCTTTTCTTTTTACAATCGGTAGGACTAACATAATATTTCTGTCTTAATATTGGTCAGTCTTTGTAGATCTTCCACGATTGTTTCTTTTTCTTCCAGTGGAACCATGATGAACCCATATGTATTATCGTTACAAATAAATAATGGTACATCTAGTATAAATGCGAAGAAAAATTTATTGGAATAGACAAGAAATAGAGGAAATTCTATGAAAGTTTTAGTATTAATTTACCGATTCTATTAGCACTGATAGCAAAAGTTATAATGTCATCTGTAGGACCGTTATATCCGTACAAGTTTTTTGGGTTGTACGTCAAATGATCCGAAATTTGTTTTCTTAAATCTATAAGAACAGCGCTATGAATCATGGGCACGTTAAAACATCCTACTTCTTCTCGAAATAAGATTGGTTCGTATCTTTCCGTTCTTAAATAGTAATAATCACTTGTCATCCCGGCCCAAAAATTGCTATACAAGCCATCAGATTTTAACAACGGAGCAACTGCTGTTTGATTTTTCAAAATTAATTCATTAAGAGTATTTGGATTTGTTAAAAAGACATCTGCATCGAGCATCTAAAATCGAATACAAAAAGAGTAATACTAGTATAATTAAAACATAATTGCGTGATGATTAGATAGATGATTGCTTTAGAAGCATTATTTAAGAATTGATATTCTTAAATCTTTGATATAAAAACAAAGAAAGAAAACAGTTTTTACCCAAATAAAATCTGCCCACATGTTTCTTCCCGCGTTAAGCGCTTCCTCGCGTAAATTTATCACATGTAAAAATCTTTGTGTTGACCAATGAGCAATTCCATTCTCATCCTCGAATTTGTTCGATTTTTCATTAAGATCTGCTTTAACTCCATGATACATGCTACCTTGTTTATTCAACCATATAGATAATATTTCATTTGATTTATCAATATTGTTATCACTACGTATCCTTTAAAAAAAGAAATGTAACTTTTGGTTGTAACAGTTTTAAGATAATTTTATGAATATAATATAATGTTGAGTAAATCACAAATATGTGTATAAATATTAAATAAGTAAACGTTGTTTTTAAATGGCGCTTAAAACGGACTTGACTATAGGATATCAATACATTTTAATTATTGAATTATTTTCTACGCATTCGCAGTAAATTTCTCTAAATTTATATTTTGTGCGTGCGTGCGTGCGTGCACGCATACATACGGCATAGGGGGAAAATACAATTTCTTGACATAAATGATATCGAATAATTAGAAAGTACATATAATGGCATTAGAAAACATTATTAATGAAAAATATTGAAAAATTATTGATATTAAGGAAATATTTTCAGTACACGATAAACTTAATGAATGTTTTGTTTATAAGATAAACTTCGTAAATATATGCAATGCTCATAATGGTTTGAAGATACAAATTATTCCTTAGTATGTTATTAATATGTTATCATAACGATAACGTAAAAAATAGCAATTATATTTTATTTTGTTCATTTACATGATCAAGAATAATTTGCATTTGAATTACATAATTAATATTTGTATTACGATTCATATAATTTTGTCGAAAAAGTGAGGTTACAAAATGTATACTTACCAGAGATATATTCGTTCCTTTGGATAAGTCAATTGTTCTAAGAAAGTCAAGAAATATGGTAATGTATGTGCCTTATTACGTATTAAAATTGTTATTAAAACTGTTGGTTTTTTAAAATTTTGAGCCGAAATTTCCGAAAACACAGTAAGAAATATAAAAATAACACGAAGAAAATTCATTAATTTCATTTTCGTTTCTAATATCGTTAATATCTTCTCCTATATTCAATCGTTACTAATTACTCAAAATAACAAATACAATAAAAGACACAAATGATAGAAAGTGTCGTATACACGTCAACCCCTGTTTTTACCATGTTATTCATTACTTAGTTCCTTCTGATAAAATTTTACTACCCACGTTAAAAACACGTAGTCGGTAAAGCGGTAAACTGCTTTCATAATTTACATTCTTTTTGTTTCTACTTTATGAATTCTCGAAATAATGCAATTAAAAGTGAAGGGTTGCATGCATTGGTCTACTAAAAAATTGTAATTTTTAGGTTATCTGAGTCATATATTTGCACCGTAAAATTTGTATCAACGTTAGATAGAATGTGGTGTAATTATAAATATATTTTTCAAATAATGCGATATTTATATTATGCGATGAAAAATTTTTGTTATATGACATGATAAATGAAAATACACATTTTCATAGAATTCTGTAGAATCATATCAGGTAAAATATATTATTAAAAATAATAAAAATGTTTACAGTGATCATGTTACATTAAACATTCTATACAACAAATACATACACGAAAATATCTTGGAAAATCATGTTTAATGCTTTGCTTGAATTATTTTATCATTTTATTATTTCGTTAATATAGGTTTTACTTTTTCGCTACATTTTTCCTTAGTTTTCGATTTTGTAGTATAACTAAGGCTTAATTTGTCAAAATCTAACATCATAATACCTAAATCACCGCTATACCTGTTCTTCGCCACCTACAAATACATTTCCTTTTAATGAATAACAAATGAGTAATAAAACCAATCTTATATTTCGTTTCTGTACACATACTTGTAGATATTTTTTGCCTCGGATACTAGTGAGTCTTTTATCTTGAATAATAAGCACATTATCTGCTTCTTGGCTCGCTTTCGCGCTTCCAAAAATCGACGAAGTTGTCAATTCTTCGTCGCTACGTTCCTTTCGTGGATGTATTATCATGGTTACATGACAATTGTACACAGTAGCGAAATTCCTAAATCTCGCTATTATATCGTCTTGTTTCCAAAATCTAGAGTGCAACTGCATTATTTTAGTTGAAAGAGAAACATATTCTATATCAATATCGGCCTATAATACCTGTCTGTATGCTTCAAATCACTAGCCATTGTTCCCATCATAAACTGAACATTGTCAATTACTACATGAGCAATGTCATGTACATATGTTGCATGCTCGACTGCCTATGATAGAAGATATTATAGTTCGAAATTTGAATAAGAAAGGTCAATTTTTATAATAATATCTTTACTCACATCCATTACTATTTTGATGCTTTGTTGACCATGAAATGTCATGAAATAAATTGGTAATTTTTCGAAAGTATTTGCATATGAATCAAAATTTTCAAGATTTTCATCTAAAGGTACACCTATCATTTGTTGTAACATTGTTCTTGCTAATCGTGCATTTCTTATCTCGAAGCTACCCCATAATGTATTAACACCTTGCATTGCTAAATCTAAGGAATATTCACTCATAAAGGTTGTCTTACCACATCCTGATGAAAAAATTAACTCATAGAAATGTTGCAATTGAGACTGAATTTATAAATATTATACTACACATATATTACCAGTTGGCCCAGTTAATATTGTAAATTCACCTCTCCTGTGACCTTTCAGTATACGATTTAAAGTTGGATATCGCTTCCACTTTATTCCTTGTACTTTATCATTATTTTGCAAATCGCTTAAGATTTCTTCTTTAAGATCCTGGAAGGTAATTATACTTCTATGCCATAGAGGCTGAGCATTCTGTAGAATATTATTAAAATCATAATCCATTTCGGCGGCTAATTTCGGTCGAGGTTGCAAGTCCGTTGGTCTAATGAAATAACATCGTTTTTCATTAAATTTTTTGGCAAAGTGTTTAGCAGTATACCAACTTGTTGCATCATTTCCAAACCATAAAATTAACTTTTTGAATGATTCCATGTATGGTAATAATTGCTGAGGCAGATTTCTTAAATTATATGGAAGACAGATAATAACATTTGCAGATTTCTTCGACATTATGGCTAGTAAATCATCTATCATTTCTACAACTATGGCAACATTATCATTTTTGTTGATATCTTGTTTAAATTCAATACATCCACTAACTCCAGAGACTGGAATTGTTTGTTCTTTTTGTGAACCAGTCGAAAATGTTTTGTAACCGACTATGGTATTGTTCAGGCCTATTAATGGGAAATATAATATATTGGTTGTCTTATTGTAAAAACAATTTAACTGAATCATATCCTGCTGTGGAATATTCTGCAAAAAGATCGTGAAATGGAATGATTGTTATAATTGGAAATATGCAATGATGTCTTTATAACCTATTTTAATTTATTACAGGAAGTGAAAATCTGTTGAGTAGAATATTATATTCTTCCATAGGTAGATCTTTTACGCTTTGACAATCATTTGTCACACATTTCCATGTTTCTAAAAAACTTTTCTTCGAAGGATAATCATTTCTTAGTATATTAAGTTCTTTATGGTTTTCATTAGACTTCTGTATCGATAAAAATTTCTCCAATATATCCCACGCACCAGTGACATCACATTTATCACACATAAAAAATCCTACAATTAATTTTGAAATTTCCATTAACTGTTCACTTATAATTTTACAACCATAAAATTATTTTTACAATTTCGAAATTTGTTTACCTGTTGTTTTATTTACATATATCTTTGATTTCTCCTCTATATCATTACATATAGGACAATCTGCTATAATACATGTATATCCTTCTGTGACATTTGTGCATTGTTGCTTTAGAAAATGTTTCAAATGTGATACAGACATATTCAGTACAGACTTTTTATTGTTTATATGAAAATGTTGTTTATTGATATAAAACATGTGTTGTCTTTTTCTAACACAAATTCGAAATAATAACTTAAATAACATTTTAATTACGTACAAGTAATAATCTGTTAAATATTTTTCTTGAATAAAAAATAAAAGTCATGATGTCACCTAATCCTTTTCTGTATTATATTCATCTGGACATAAAATTTCTAATTTACATATATTAAGAATAAACTTAGCTATATTTGATATTTTATATACATACATACATATACACATTTATATATATAATATAAATAATATAAATTTACTATAATTCTTTTTTATCTTTCGAATAATGTAAATTTTTAATTTCTTAATTTCAACATTAAAAAAAAGGTCAAATAATTATAAATTGCTTGATATTTTACAAATTTCACATAACAGGCAGCCTATTTTATCTAATTTTATTTTTATGTTTATTATTTATAATTATGATTTCGCATATATAAAATGATGGATATTTATTAGTTGCATATATATATTGTTTGCACTTACATTTGTGTTTATCCTTAAGACAATATTCAATACATATAGTACAACTAAGCGTGTAAGCTTGTAGAGACATCTTATGGGTAAATAATTCTTTATTTTATCGAAAATCAGCTATAGGCATAGTCAAGGATACTTATTAACTATATCAACTTTATCATTTAGGTTGGGTATAATTCTTGAAATCATCGTTAGAAAATCTTTAATTTTTTATCAAACTCTTATAACGTAACAGTTTAACGAAATTTATGATTAGCAAAAAGGTATATATAATTTAATGTATATCATTGAACTTGATACTATTCATTTCTTCAATACTATTGTATTTGTATAATGAATCGCACAAAGTGTTTTCAAATATTGCAATATATATAGTCCGTTAATATTTATTTTTATGAAAACACAACAATAAGGTATTATTATTCTCATCATTATTCCGTACTTACTTACAAATAATTCTAAAATCTTAGTTTTCAAGAAAAAGCACTTATATTTAATACAACTTCTATTCTAACGCGTATATGCATAAACACATATGTATATTATGATGGAAATCCATCTAATTGATATTACTGCCGAGAACATACAAGTATACATCTCTAAAAATATTCAGTTCTTTATTACATAAAAATACTTAGTAGTAGATATATATGTGTATATATTATAAAGAGAAAAAGTTGGCGTTATATACATGCTTGAATTAAAATGATAATTTTTGTTTTAATATCTTGTATTAAGTGAAATATTAAACAGGATATGTCATGTTAAATTGATTGAATAAACAGAATGTAATTTATGTGAAGGTATTTATTTCTTTTATGTTACATTACATGTACTAAAGAAAGATTTGTATTATGATTATGAATTTTTGTAATAAATAATTGAATTTCTTTTATATAAATTTCTTTCAGTATCAGTTTACGTGTACATCAGTTATAACCTAACAGATTGCGTACCATATATGTATTTGTTTTACAGGTTATTTCTCAAATCTATCAATTGGCTGTATTGTCAAATATGTGAAATTAATTATATAATCTTAAATAATTTATAATTTGTATATTCTTTTATGACCCATTATTTGCATTAGGTGGATTATAAAATGAGAGTTCAACTTCTTCTTGTCTATAGATAAAACGAAATAATATAAATGAGTTAAATACAAATTAGAAATTTATATATATATCATTCTTATGTATTCGCGCATACGCACACGTAATATTATGATACATTAATATTATATATATTATAATTACATTAATATATTATAGTATATATATTAAACTTAAAATTATTGTAATGAACAATTTTATCTTCAATTGTTTGTCAAAGAAAAGTCAAGATGTTAACATATGTTTTCTAAGATGAAAAGTGAATGTAATTCTGATCTTACCTCTCAGTAGTATTACTAGTTGTATTATCTTCATCCGTTAATATACCAATTTCATACACCATTGCTTTTATAATATATCTATAATATTAAAATCATATAAATTAGTATATATATTTGTTTGCGTGGAATTTTCAAGATTATGAAATATTCTTACAAATTGTCACCATCTGAATTATTTAATGTGTTATTTATTAACATTGCAGTTGTATTATACTTTGTGTCAGGTACAGATGATGTTATACTTAATTGTACAGAGATATAAAATAAGAACAATGTTAAATATAATACCCAAGAAGTTCTAGTGTCTCGATCAGTTTCACGGTTACACAACATTTTTAACAGTAACTTTAATTTTCAAGCAAGCACTTTTATAGTCGTTATTGAAGCCTTATTAGCACCACTCCCTCTTCTCAAGTTATGGCTGCAAGATACGTCATAATATACATTTTCATCTTGTTCATAAGTAGGAATGGAAAATTTGTAAGAGGCAAGTTCTTATAATGTACTTGAAATATTTATACATGTGTATATGAAATGTAATAATTACACACACAAATAGGGCACATCAAGCTTTTTATAATGGAAAATAAATATCATTTTAAATGATACCATTCTATACAAAAATATTACTTTGCAGAATGGTTTGTGGTTTATTTATACATAAGCTATTGATAGTTTATTAGTAAAATATATGAAATAGTTTATAACAATTCAGTTACTCTGTATTTGAATGTAGCTTTCCTAATTACAGATTTCTTGCATAAATGCATAAAAATAAGTATTTACCAGTTACATTATTATTTGGCTACTGTTTTAATTCAATTTACCAAAGTACATAATGATTTATTTTCAGAATTATATTTATTGTTATATTATATTTGAGTAAAATAAAACATACAAAATGTCCTCCCAACAAGTTACGGTATAATATGTTTCCATACTTATTAAATTAACGCTTCAGTGCAAATAAAGTACTTTATGCAGTGCACATTATAGATACGTATGTATTTAAAATGGAATTGAACAAACATTGGGGATTTGAGTATTTGCATTGTCAAAGAAATAAACATATTTACATACAACTGGTCTTTATTTAATTTAAATGTAATACTATAATATCTATTAAAAAAATAAAAAAATAAAAAAACAGAACTTAATACTCATTTAAAAATTTTAATCTTTCAGTGATTTTTAATATAATATTCATAACACTAAATATGATATTAATGATAACAATTGCACTACCACTTATTGTAATTGCTTTGTGTTACAAAATGTACTTAACTATTATATTATTTAACTGAAATATATCATATTTCTTATGTATACAAAATAGGAAGTAGTATTTCATACATCTTTTTAATTATTTTTGATACACATGTTTGCATTCAATATTGTCTGTAATATTTATTTACAAATTCTATTCTTACATATGTAAGTCTAATTATTTGATATATATTATATAAATATTAGAGAATTTTTACTGTAATATAAATATGCATTTATAAATATTTTATTATCACGATACTGTTTTATGGTTGTGTAGTAGGTTTAGGAATATCGGATTTAAAATTACTTGCTATTTAAAATACATTAAAACTATATTATACTGTATAGATTGCGAAAATACTCCCCTGGTCGATACCGACGGGAACATTGGTATTATTGTTAAACATGAGGTGGTACGAAAAGTAACGTGTAATATTTGAAAATAGACTGTTATTTCATTTCTTGTATTAAATAGTATCGATTACTATTAGGCAGGTTCTAAGTTGTTGAAATAACACAGGATATAAGCATTTTTTTTAAGGGTTATTGATCTAAATTATTAACTTCCTTAGGTCCAGTGAGGTTATACGAAGAGCATACAAGCAACTTTAGTAGTTGATAAAACTGTAAAAATTGTGCACAATGAATCCGCCAGACCATAAAGGACTTGCAATACAATTGAATGAGTTAAGAGATGCAAGAATTAAGAGATTGGAAGAGTTAAGAAATGGACGACTGAAATTTGTAAGTAATAAGAAAAATCTTCACATGTCTGTTATATCAGGATTCTAACACTTAGTTATATTATACTTTTAACTAATATATAAGAATAATGTTTTTTTAACGGTAATATCGTATTGTATCAGAATAGATCTAAAAAACTTCGAATCAAAATGTAATTAATAAATTATAGACAAAAGAATCATTTGATGTATTTCAAAACTGTATGAAGACAACAGCTATTTATTATTATGGTATACCTTGTGGAGTGGCGAGTGCAGTTTTATTACAGCATTTCTTACCTAAAATGAGGTTTCGTAATATGGCAATAATTAGTGGTAGCTTAATATCGTATTTATTTGGAAAATTTAGCGCTGTATCAAAGTGTTACATGGAGTCATGTGCATTTTTATCTGATGATTCTGCTAAAACAAGGTATTACTCAGGTTTTTACAATTGTATTAATATTTAATACATAATATTTTAATTGGCTAACAAAGCAATATAAAATATATTTAGACAACAATCACTATATACTGTTGACGATGACAATAATTCAGATCAACAAAATGAAGAAGACAAACATCTTTTACCTTTTGACGATGTACCAAAGGAAAGTTCAACATGGGATTATCATGATTCCCAATTTGAAAGCTATTGTAAGTTTATTAATAATATATACATATGTATTTGCATGTGCACGAATAAACATAATTAATATACACATTATGGGTATATTGTATTACATATATAGAATTCGATAATTGATAATCTTTCCAGTAATTAAATTTATAAATTATATTTTAAGCAAATGAATTAAATGATACAAGTGATAATTTACAAGAAGAGGCAATAAATATACAGCAAGGAAAGAAGCGTGTGACATATGACGAATTATGGAAGGAGCACAGACTTAAAGAATTGCAGACCAATAATTACGGCTTGAAGTATAATTCAAATCTTGTATTGTTATGTACATGCTATATATATATATTACATTTATATATTACACTTACAGTTATGGTAGAGAGAAATTATTTGAAACACAAAAGAAGAGAGAAAAGATGGAACCAATAACTCCTGAAACAGAATTCGAGAAGAACGATAATCTATCGAATTGAAGTAAACTTATGTATCTTTGGTAAATAAATAAAATCTTAAGTTTACATGCAGCAAATTGTTGCATAATATTAAATCGTGGTAACAAAGGTAGCAATAAAAATAAAAATGTGTGAAGACATCTTTATGTTCTGGATTTTTTCGTTGTAAGCATTTATCCTTAATATTGAAGAAGATCATAATGAATTAAGATAAATGTTAAAGATGAAAGTAAGAATCATACTTGCAATTTATAAATATTTTTGTGCAATAGGAAGCTATATTTCTATAAATTAGCAAGATGGTAAATGTTTTATAAAAATATGCCTTTTTTATGTTAGAATTTTGTAAATGTAAAGATAAGAATTTAACGGGATAAAAGTAATCTCGTTAAAGAAATGTAACATAAATTTTTGTGGTGCAAGAACTCGCTAGTTTCATAATTTATTCATTATTTACCGTTTGTTACATTCTGATATTGTCACTAAAACTCGTACAGATTATCGTGTTACGTTTAAACAAATTGTGCTTACATTTTATTATCGTGATTAAAATTTTGTTAATATTATAATTGAGTAATATTATGAGTGTTTATTTATACGGAAGCAGTTGATAACAAAGATGCATTATTTTTATTAATGAGTATTTTGAGTTTAATATGTATGTTTTTCAAATGAACTATTTGTCATTAGTTTAAAGATAAAATTTATCCAGTGAAATAAATGTATGTACAATAATTTAGGATAGAGAAGAAAATGATGATTCGTTGTATTATTAATCTTTCTTTAATTATCTTTTTCAAATCAATAAAGGAATCGGATAAACGTATAACTCATAATAACATTAAAGCAGAGTAAATGTTTATTCGTATTTTGATTGTTACGATAAATGCAGGTGAAACATGGTTATTTTTTTTTGGCAAAAAACGATTGTTGAACGAGTGCGAAACACGATGATGTTTGACGAATTATAGGAACAATTTAATTTAAGAAAGAATATAGTTAACTTGGTGTATAGCAAAAATATATATATACAATTATTAATACTATTATTATTTGCTCAAGTTCTCCGAAAGATATGGAAAAAATATTTGATAGTTTGAAAATGCTGCGATTGAAGATAGGAGAATGTTCTCATTCGAAAGTAGAATAAAACAACCCGATGATGTCGTGAAATCTAAGAGAATATGATCTTGACATAAAGAAAGAACATATCGATGGTAAAATTTACCCTGTGAAACCCAACAACTGCTTCCGTTATATTTTCTTATGTTACGAAATACGAAAATAGCAACTGAAGAAATAGATAAAACATGTCCGATCATGGACGAACGAATTGAAAATTTTCGTTTTTATCTTTACAATTATACGATTATATAATTCGTATATATTCGTAAGGGAAAATAAATATGAAGGTGTGAAATTGAAGGAAAACATTAATAAATATATAAAAATGGCCACTCATTGTCCAAATAACGAAGTTCATCTTAAGAGTCTATCGCTATTCAAATCTTTTTGTTTGATTGCAAGTAAAAAGTTGAATCGGTTGATAAAATTGAACGAATAACAATAACATAACGGATGAGGAGATTTCATGGTTTCCCGAAAATGTTGTCGTAGGAGTCACAAGTGGAAGAAATAACTTATAACACCTTGTACATAGAATAATCTAAAGAATGGAAGAAAGCGGGTGATTTTAGTATGACAATTAATCGATATCTATTTAAATTACCGAAATATTACCGAAATATTACCGAATATACAATAGTATGATAATGCATTATACAAGTACGTTAAGTTTAGCTTACAGATAGTCAAATGTCTGAGTATTGGTAAAATTAAAGTATATAACATTTAAAGTAAATATATTAAAGTATAAAGTATAAAGTATAAAGCATTAGTCAAGATAAATGAAATTAAGTCGAGGAATAAATAAGTACGACGACACGAAGGAAAGATGTTTTTGCAGAACAGAAGTACTTACACGGTACATTACACTGTGCAGAGGTGAAAAGTAAGTACTTAGCCGGCACTATACAGGATCAATAGAGATATCTCGATCACCTCTTCGGACTTGATCTTCGATACTTGCGAAATTTCTGTTTTTAGGTTGTTCGTGGTATATATTATCCCGTCATGGCTTTTATTTTACCTTTTACCAACGGTTAACACTTTAAGTCGAGTCTACGTTTGCGCGAATTTTGCGCTCTATCCTATTCGGTCTTGAAATCCCTGAAAATTCTCTTCGCCACGCGATAATATAGGTGTTTAAATTTTCGTCTGTGATCGTATGAAATTGAAAATATAATTCTATCTGTGCAACTAGGGGATTAGTTCGAGCTGCGTTACTTTCAAGTAACTTCTTTTCAGCTTTGCGTGATATTTACGGAGTTGCTATATAACAAGACCGATAATCATGGTAATATCTTCTTAAACGTCTTTGTTTCTGGAAACGATGAAAAATTCGCATTACGTTAGGTTCGACTTTGAATCTTTTTACTTAATCGTTCATTTTCATTTCGTTCTTGTAAGAATTGGGAATTTTCGTTCTTTCTCGTTTCATCATCTCGCCTCGCGATTTCAGTGCGAAGCATAGAAATATCGTAACGGAGAATCGATGAATCGAAAACCGGCATGTTTATACCATAGTAGTCATTGATCATCGATCCAACGAAAATTTTCACGGCACGGTGGCGAACAACTAGCACGATGTCGCGGGGAATCGTGCAAAGAGGGCTGCGTGCAGCCAGCCATTGGCTATCGAAAGCGACCAATGGGCGAGTACTCCCATTCATAAGTAGCGCCGCTTTCGTCGTGATAGTGGGGGGTCTTGTCTGTGATGCAACACGAATTCTAGCTACATATATAAGTAAGTAAGCAAGCGAGTAAGTAAGTAAGTAAGTAAGTAAGTAAGTAAGTAAGTAAGTAAGTAAAGTAAGTAAAGTAAGTAAGTAAGTAAGTAAGTAAGTAAGTAAGTAAGCAAGCAAGCAAGCAAGTAAGTAAGTAAGTAAGTAAGTAAGTAAGTAAGTAAGTAAGTATGTACGTATGTATGTATGTATGTACGTATGTAGTTGCTTCCATGATTCCGCGGACCGACCCCTGACTCTCAACACGCTCGCGCCTTCGTCCTGCCGCGTTTTCTCTACCTACCTCCCTCGTTTCTTCATCCTTTCTCATTCTCGTCCGTATTTTTTCCCAATACCGTTCAATCGATTCGTTCTCTTCGTTCCTGCCTTTACCTCATCGCAGTTACATTTCTTCTCATATTTTTCTTATTTACATTACTCATCCGAATGTTTCTTTTCACTCGAGATCGCTCGACCCATAATTCGTAATATGCTTTCGCTAATTGGTGTACACAGCGAGTAGATATACCGAGTATATATAGTAGCTAAATCGGGAATGGAACATGGAACATGAAAGAGTTTTAGTCGAATGTCTACGAATGTTGCGTCGCAAGTTCGACAATTGCGTATGTACATAACAATTCCTGTCCCTTTGTACGATTACGAACATAACGATCGTTGATATTGTTTTTCGGTCTGCGCGATTTTCGATCTATATATGCGCAACCCCTTGCACGTTTGGTTTTGTCGCTTCATCGATAAAGATGTGCTTTTGTCAGGACGATTTATAAAGCGAGAGAGAGAGGTCTTTAACTCGTGATTAGCTCCAGTATGTAAATTGAACAATGGCGCACCCGGCAAAGAAGTATAACGCGGAAGGAAAATTTCCCTTCGGGGAAAATCTGTTGTACGAATTGGTTGAATCGAACTGAATGTTTGATTTCGACGGACGTTGTTTGTAACGAATGTTGTTTGTAAAGAACGAGGAGGAATTGGGGTGCAGAAAGTAACTCGTAAAGATCCACGGTGTGAGACGGTTGCGATTCACGTGTTCGTTCGGTTTAAATGATCGCGCGTAGAAAGGGGAGTCATGCAGGTGCAGGTCATGTGAAATATTTGCACTTTGTCGTAATTTGCGTAACCCGTTGCATATATAATAAATCTGCAAAGCTAAAGCGCCACGATAGAAAATCGTTTCACAATCTAAAGAGAAAGGGAATCTCTGGTTTCGTGGGAGGGGAGAGATTCGAGATGCCTGTTGCAGCATATAGGTACTATACTTATAGATATACCACGATTGGTATGAGTTGACGACAGTACGAATTCGAAATTTCGAAATTTTCCTCGTAGCCTTTGTCAGCTGGTTCTTTCGTTATCGAGAGATCGGATATGGACGAACCAAAGGATCGACGAGAAAAGAGCGACGCTCGAGAATTTCTGCTCAGTGTTCTCGGTGAGCAAGTCGCAGGATGATGTTTGAGAGATTCAGTCGAGAAAAATGATTCGCGACCGTGCAGTGGATCGATGTGTATACAAAACAAAAGGCGAGACTAGTCGTAGTTGGATGACGTCAGACGAGCGTTGGCGGAATGACTATGGCCGTTCCCATTCCCTAACGAAGATGATCGAGAGAAGCATATATACATATATACAAGCAGATGGAGACAGAACAGCCGTGTAACTATAAGTGCAACGGGACCCGAAAGAATAAAAGAAGTGTTTCTCTGTCTCACGCTTATCGTGCTAACTTTGAAACTGTTCTAGTCCCGTTCGAACAAGGAACAGGGTATCGTTCGCCAATCACGATGCCAGACGCAACCATCGTATTAGATAAAATTAGGTTAAAATAACCGGTGACATTGGAAGATTAGAAGCTGTAATGTCGCGATATTCCGTTACGACAGATAAGGATGAAAGAAAAAAGGAATATGAGACAAAAGCTGAAGAGAAGAAGCGTGTCAAAATCGTTGGAGGTGGAAATCTTATATCGAAAGACGAACGAAAACACGGAAAAAGAAGTACGGCGCGTGTACGTAAAGCTACAAGAAAAACGACAACCACGTTTCGATGGAAATAAACGAATAAATTTAATAAAATAGAATTAGATAAGTGGAGGGGTGTGCGGGAGGAAAGGGTAATCGGCGGTGAGGGGGGGGGGGCATGTTTGATGGTCGCCTAGACAGCTGGAATCGGTCGCGCCTTGGGCGTGAGCGAGCCATAAGCAAAAGGCAGAAGTTGATGCGAGGGTAAAGAAACAGGGAAACAACGAGGGAGTGAGTTGACCGTACAAAAACAGAGATCAAACGACGCTGGTGTGGTAGAGGGGGAGAGATAGAGAAAACAGCTGAGAGAGCGAGGAGGAGAGAGTCAGGAGCATGGATTGTGGAGGGCTACGTTCACCGGGCAGTTACTCCGGAACCGTTGCCTTGACGACACGCATCCGCGCATGCGCGTATGCGACGCCACGGGTGCACCACGATCGCGTCACGAGCACCAGTTGCGTTCACCACCCTCACCTTTTACCACTATTATAAGCTTTTCTCCATCTCTGTTGCTGCTGCTGCTGCTGATGCAGCTCCTTGGTGAAACCGTCGCTATTGTCGCTACCATTGCCCCACTAGTATCTCACCATCATTGCCCGCTGTCGTCTTGTCCGCTACCATCCTGTCCCATCACTGGTAGCTTTCCGTAGCGTTATACGCATTGCCGCCTTCGATGTCGTTCTCGTAGCTTCATTTTCTAGCATTATTTTCTCTCGTTATCGTTAGATTTATCCATGACTGTTTCTCTTAACGATCTGTCCGTCGCGATTGCTTTATTCTCTTCATTTAGTTTTCTTTCCACTTTTGCTTAATTTTTTTTATAACTGTTTCTCGCACTTGTATACAGAGACGACGGATATAACGTGTAAAAGGAACGTGGAGTATGTTTACGGCATATCGGTCGGAATGGACAACACTGTTTACACGTACCCCTATGCATATCGTGACATTTTCGACGTATGTATGTACGTCGTTGCATTCTCTTTGAAAATTTCAACATGAATAGTTTGAAAGCTACTACTTACTATTCCATTTCGAGATTACCCTCTAGTTTCCGGTGATTGCATAGCTCGACCTTCGATTCCTCCGTTTCAACGTTTTCTCCTTCTCCAACTTTGCCACCACCACCGTTACCTTCGCCACCTCCACCATCTTCGTTACCTTCACCACTTTCGTCACCTTCACCACCTCCGTAACCTCCACCATTTTTGTCACCTCCACCACCTTCGTAACCTCCACCATCTCCTTCAATTCCACTACTACTACTACTACTACTACTACTACTACTACTACTACTACTACTACTACTACCACCACCACCACCACC